GGCCTATCATGCAAGGCTCTGGTCAACTTGCTGCCTATTATTATTATTGCCATTTATATAGCGCCAAAAGATTCCGTAGCGCTTTACAATATTATGAGAGGGGGGATTTAACTATAAATAGGACAATTACAAGAAAACTTACAGGAACAAAAGGTTGAAGAGGACCCTGCTCAAACAAGCTTACAGTCTATAGATAAGTTTAGCATCACTGAGCTAAAATACCTGGAAGTACCGGTACTAATTATCTGATTGACAGCCAGGGGGTGTAACAGGGGTAATTTATAAAAATATTGAAATATAAATTTTTTGTGAAATAAAAACCAGACACACTCTTCACACATAAAGCACTTCAACAAGCTGTGTGGAGTATTTCTTTAGTTTATCAATTACAGTATCCTTCCTGCCAATATTTTTGTAAGCTCAATAGGGAATTCTGACATAACATCAATGGCTTGTGTGCATCCTATAACACCAATATTTTTATTTGGTGACTACGTGACGCCAGCCCACGAAACCCCTACAGCTCTGCCTTTTCTGAATGCACCAAGTGGGTGGGATGGCCCTGACTAAATGTTTATTGAAACCCATTAGCCTTTTGTATGAGCTTTTTGTATTGGTACAAATTCATTTTGACAAACAATAGATTGAAAATCTGTGATTTTTTTTTATCCTGCATCTACCTTTATGAGTGCAATCTGCCCTCATTTCTATCTATCAAGTTCCATTAATGGAATTCCAAATGTGTTGCCCACCTACTTAGTGCCATTACCAAAATACTAACAGCAATATGAAAACATTTCCCGATTCTTTATTAATGTGGGCTGAACAAATCAAAATAAGAAAAAAGGGTTCATCATGCATGGAGGATTTAAAGGTTGGAAGTAAACATGTTGGATGTGATTGTTTTATGTGTACGGGGGTGGGGGGGAGTGTTAGAGCAACTCTGTTTGTGCTTGTGAAGATGAATCTGTATGTATTTGGGTCATTATTTATATAAATTCTGATAAAGATGTTTTTAATATTATGTCTTTTTTTTCATTGTGATATTTAGTGTGGGACATTTTTCAAAGAATTCAGAAATTCAGGTAATACTGTTTTGTATATTGTATTATTGCTCTTATTGTGCATTAAATTGTGAATGGTTATGATGTTAGGAAGATGTCTTAGCAAGCTTACTTTTAAAATTATTTGAAATTCACTTTGAATTCTCACTTTAGCAAATAACCCTGTTAGCCGTGGCAAGTAGAAATCCACCCCTGAGTGAATGTGCTTTGGACCTTCCAGGGTTACAGTGGCAAGCAACCTTCAAAGCCTGGCGTTGACATTGTACTTAAAAATTTTAAGCCATGTGTGTGTTTGTATTTGCTTCACATTGATCCACATTGGTACACACACAATGTCAGTACAGAAAAGCTCACTGACACACATAAGTTCACTACAGACAAGCTCTCTCTGAGACACACACAAGCTCACTAATGTGCGCACTGTAACGGAGCTCCCTGTACCCCTGGCCAAGGACTGCTTCCTAGCTGGAACAGGGGACAAACCGCAGCACTTCTGCCCACAGACGCCGTGGCTTGACTTGGGGTCCTGGAACCGCTCCCGCCTGAAGCCGCATGGGGAACTCGCTCTAGCAACACCCAGGCACTGGACGACACTCAGTCCTGGGAGCTCTAGTCCTTACAAGGACTTACCCTGTTAAATTCTCCACACTGGAACAGTGATCAGTGATTAGCCCTTTCCCCTCCCAGTAACCAGACGACACATAGTTCTGGGAGTACAAGCTGGAATACTTTAATCTGGCCAGATGGCCTGCTTTTACACAATTTCAGACACAGTTAAGCACGCCCTTGACACTCCCACACAAACAGGATAATCCCTCACCTAGACCTGAGAGGGGACTAGTTACAAGTTACAAACTCCTCCTCTGTCATCTCTCCTCTGTGAGAGATAATTGAGTCAGGAACTGAACTAACTCAATTATTTCCTGGCACAGAAAAACATACATAGAAACATAGAAACATAGAATGTGACGGCAGATAAGAACCATTCGGCCCATTTGTCTGCCCAATAAATACTTTCATTAGTCCCTAGTCTTATCTTATAGTTAGGATGGCCTTATGCCTATCCCACGCATGCTTAAACTCCTTTACTGTGTTAACCTCTACCACTTCAGCTGGAAGGCTATTCCATGCATCCACTACCCTCTCAGTAAAGTAATACTTCCTGATATTATTTTTAAACCTTTGTCCCTCTAATTTAAGACTATGTCCTCTTGTTGTGGTAGTTTTTCTTCTTTTAAATATAGTCTCCTCCTTTACTGTGTTGATTCCCTTTATATATTTAAATGTTTCTATCATATCCCCCCTGTCTCGTCTTTCCTCCAAGCTATACATGTTAAGATCCTTTAACCTTTCCTGGTAAGTTTTATCCCGCAATCCATGAACCAGTTTAGTAGCCCTTCTCTGAACCCTCTCTAAGGTATCAATATCCTTCTGAAGATACGGTCTCCAGTACTGTGTACAATACTCCAAGTGAGGTCTCACCAGTGTTCTGTACAATGGCATGAGCACTTCCCTCTTTCTACTGCTAATACCTCTCCCTATACAACCAAGCATTCTGCTAGCATTTCCTGCTGCTCTATTACATTGTCTGCCTACCTTTAAGTCATCAGAAATAATCACCCCTAAATCCCTTTCCTCATATGTTGAGGTTAGGACTCTATCAAATATTCTGTACTCTGCCCTTGGGTTTTTACGTCCAAGATGCATTATCTTGCACTTATCCACATTAAATGTCAGTTGCCACAATTCTGACCATTTTTCTAGTTTACCTAAATCATTTGTCATTTGGCTTATCCCTCCTGGAACATCAACCCTGTTACATATCTTAGTATCATCAGCAAAAAGACATACCTTTACCATCAAGACTTTCTGCAATATCACTAATAAAAATATTAAAGAGAATGGGTCCAAGTACAGATCCCTGAGGTACCCCACTGGTGACAAGTCCAAGCTTGGAATATATTCCATTAACTACAACCCTCTGTTGCCTGTCACTCAGCCACTGCCTTACCCATTCAACAATATTGGAATCCAAACTTAAAGATTGCAGTTTATTGATAAGCCTTCTATGTGCAACAGTGTCAAAAGCCTTACTGAAATCTAGGTAAGCAATGTCTACTGCACCACCCTGATCTATGATTTTAGTTACCCAATCAAAAAAATCAATAAGATTAGTTACAATATTACAAAAAAAACATTAGTTACAATATTACAAAAAAAACAAAATACCTTAAAAACACATAAAAACTTCACAAAAGTTACCATTCCCTGATAGCCCCGATCTGGGTGACCAACATATCTAAAAATCACCCAGATTGGCTTAGGGGTTTGGAATTTTCATGGAAGTCATAATTTTGACTGACCGTGCACATGGTCCTATGCCCAAAACAGTTACATGAAATCAGTGCTAATGTCCGGTCAAATTCGGTAGTCTTTTACAGGTTTCCCTGCAGGGCCCATAATCTGTGGGCAGGTGGCTGATAAGCAAGCTCCTCCAGGAGCTTGTTGCAAACTCACGTGGGAAGGGGAGTTTGTCTCACACACACACACACACACACAAGTTCACTACAGACAAGCTCTCTTACACACACAAGCTCACTATAGGCAAACACAGTGGTAAGCACACTTTGAGAACTATTGGTCATAGGCTACTGGGCAAGCCTAATATTACTAGTCGTCAACTGATATTACTAGTTACTGGAAGCAGGGACTCTGAGGGCAGTGTGAGGGTTCTTTAGGTATGAAGTTGGCATTTCAGGGACTCTTCCTTTCTTCGTAATCAGCTGGCTGAGTCTGGGTGGTAGCGCTCAAATGAGGGTGTTGGCTCCTACCTGAGCAAGATAAAAGGTGCAGTTTGTACCATTTATGTGGCCACACTGTAGTGGAAACTGCAAAATATCCTTTGTGAGAAAGAGTTACACTGCTCACTCACTTTTCCCTGCTGCCCTAACACAGTCCAAAAAATAAATTAAAAAAATAGATGTTTCAGCGAAACAGGCTGCATATTCTGGCCCTTGATGCCCACATATCAGTCTGGTCCTGACCATCACAACAAGCTCTAAGCTATAATGTTTTGAGTATCCCTTTAATAATTTCTTAGAAAAGGTATATCTCGCTATAACTGAAATTGTGTTTTGTTTTCTTATCAAAAAGATGAATAAAGAGTCAGTTAAACTTTACCTTCAAGTATGTGAAACCTCTGGTCTATAGATTTTGTTCATGAAATCCCAGCAAATATATAGATTAAAATATAAACTTAAATATATATCTCCTCCTAAAAATACAATTAAATCACCAGTGAAAAGGAATGAAAATTCATCATTTACCCTTTCTTCTCAAAAGTATGTATTCCTCCCTAATCTTCAATAGTCCATATTTAAAAAGCAAAGAATTTAAACACTTAAATGACAAAGAGTAGAACGCATAATAATATAATAGTAATAATATTGCCAGATCATGAACACTGCGCTGAAATAAAAGCAGCAAGCATGGAGACAGTCAGACACTGAGGACATTAGAGGGATTCTCGGGTTATATGCAGTAATTGTGAGCTGCATATCTGGGAAAGGGAGTGCATGGCTCTGTTTAATCACCTATTATATAGTAGTCTAGGTTGAAAAAAATGCAAAAAGGGAGTTAAGGGCTGCGCTTGAACAAACAAATAAAAAGTTTGTAAAAGTGTATATAAATAAAATAAGCAATAATGATAAAATCAAGTAAAGTTCATCCGGATAAATAAAAGTATAAATTGAAACAGTCTCACTGATGTGCAGTAATATGATAATAGTCCTCAAGTGTTGCTCCGTCCGTATGGTAGGTAGTCCATATATGTGAAGACAAAAGAAAAAAAAGAAAAAAGCTGCCAATGGTGAAATATTGTATGTCCAAATGTGGTATATATTCAAAGGAAAGGTATTTCACTCACATTTGTTGGAGCTCTAACCAGCTCTAGGAGAAGAGGCACTTAGTGGTTTAATCCCCACTATCGGATGTACTTAGATGGTTGGTCCGTCTATCCGGCTTGGAATTCCTTTGATGTAGGCTAGGACCTACTCAGATGTGCGTTGTTCTTTAATGCTGGGGAGATAGGTCCGCCTCTCCGGTGTTGGATAATAGGTTTCCACGGGATATATATAAAATAGCAGATAGTGCTCTCAGTATTAAAAACACAGTAATATCTTAAGATAAGTTATACTTACAAGAATAGAGCAGACAGATACTGCTCTATTGCCACAGCGCTGGTGGAATTATCCCCACCTAAGGATTTTTTTGGACGGGATACACTTCAAGTTAAAAATAAAATAACAATAAAAAATAGGAGGATAAAAAATAAAATAAAACAATGGAATAGTTTTAAATTGATATAAAAATAATGATATAATATAAGAATGCCAGGAGTAAAAAAAAGTGTATAAAATACAATAAAAATAAGTATAGAATTGGTCCTAGTATAAAAGGTAACCAAAAATTACTTTTATTGATTAAAATACACTTATTAAAACCATTTACGCGTTTCACCTTTAGGGTTTTCTCAAAATGGTAAAAGAAAGCCCTTATTAGGGTTGCTGCTTCACCGAGTTAGCGCAGACTCTTCCCCTTTTCTTTTTTAGGTTGAAAAAAAAGACTAAAGTCCATCAAGTTCAACCTTGAAACCCCTCCCCACCCCTCCTGCCGGTAACACTGCAGTTGAATCGTGTGCCCCTGTCCGTTGGCACCCCCTTATCTGTGGTACCCGGGGCAGTCCGCCCCCCACTTAGTACGCCACTGGCACCATGCCGTATTCAGAAACTAATCATCTGTAGGTCTGCCCTTCACTTGATAAATCATCCAAACCACAGTCCTTCTGTTTGCATTCCAGACCACAGTTTTATATAATCGCATTCAAACATAGATGTCATAACATGTAATTTCTGCTTGCATTCCATCATAGATGCCATGATTGCAACTTGCACTCCAAATGCACTTCATAAAATGTAGATTTTTGCATCACAAATGTTACTTGAAAATCACTTCCTCCACTCCCAAAATGGTGTCTGGGATCAGCGCTGTATTTGACGCGAGGCAAACAAGGCATTTGTCTTGGGCGGCACTTTAAAAAAACGTGAGGTGCATGCTGCGGAGTAATGCCGGGAGCCGGAATATGACGTCACATTCCGTCTCCCAGCATCACTCTGCGGCGCACGAGGGAGCTAAGCAGAGAGAGCTCACAAATCAGCGCTCCCTCGCTGCCCACCTGGACCTCAACCGCCCGACTACTTGCACGCCTGAATCTTCATAAAAGTTACTTTGCACTCACAAGTCATCAAACAGGAAAATATAATCATGATGAAATATTTACAAACTGGGTCTCTGCCAGTATATAACATATGACTAGTCCCTCTGCATTATATTATGCTGCCTATAACACTGGGAATTATTGTGTAGTGGCGTGTAAGAGAAGATTTCCAAGTTTCAGGCCTAGTTTGGGGGATATTTGATAAAAATAGGGAAATGGGGGAAATGTGTGTCTGGCTGGCTGTCAGTGAGTCTGTGTGTGTATATCTGTCAGTGTGTGTCTGTGAGTGTATCTGTCAGTGAATGTGTGTTTGAGTGAGTGAGTCTGTGTGTGTGTATATCTGTCAGTGTGTGTCTGTGAGTGAGTGACTGTATGTATGTCTGTCAGTGTGTGTCTGTGAGGGAGCCTGTGTGTCTGAGTGATTGTGTGTATGTATTTGTGTGTGTCTGACTGATTGTGTATGCCTCTCAGTGTTTGTGTGTCTGTCAGTCAGTGAGTGTGAATCTGCGTCATTGTGTGTGTGTATGTTAATGAGTGTGTGTGTGCGTGTGTCAGTGATTTTGTGTCACTGATTGCGTCTGTCAAATTGTGTCAAATCAGTGAGTGTGTGTGTGTATGTCAGTGTATCTGAGACTGTGTGCCTGTCAGTCAAAGTATGTGTTAGTCTTTAACAGGAAGAGGTGTGGACTTAAGAGGAAGGGGGGGGGGCAAATTTAAATTAGAGGGTGCCCGAGTTCCGTCATGCCTAGGGCAGCACAGATCCAAAATACACCACTGTCTGGGATGGAATAAAAAGTAGTGCACACAACCACTCTACCTCAGAATGTTGAGGAATGAATTCCGGAACTTCCGTTGTGCGAGTACGCATATGAGAGTTTCTTTTATTTTTTTATTGAAACAAACTGAAAACCAAATAGCAACATTCAGACTTAAATAGGAAAAGTGTGACTTTAAATTAGTTGTAGTATTTCCCCCACATGGAGTGCTGGGGGGAAATACTACACATGCAGGGGGTGGATGGGAAATTAGATACATGGATCGGCTGGGGAGAGAAATGGACACACGGAGTGGTTGAGGGGGAGAAAGAGGCATGTAGCCGAGCTCCCTGTACCCCGTCTGGGTATCTCCACCAAGGACCTCAGCACTTCTGCCCCAGTCATCGTGGCTTGACCGAGGTCCTCCTGGAGACTCTCTGTCCTGGAGCAGGATAGGGGACTAGCTCTATTCACTCCCAGGGACTGGATGACACACAGTACTGGGAGCTCTAGTCCTTACAAGGACTTTCCCCGCTGAATCCTCCATGAGATGGAACAAGCTGGAACAGTGATTAGCCCTTTTCCCTCCTAGTAACTAGACGACACATAGTTCTGGCAGTACAACTGATTTTAATGAGCCAAACTCAGCCTTTTATGCACAGATGCCAGCAGGGGGTCTCCACTGTATTCTACACAACCCCCTCCCAGGAAGATAATTGCGTTAAAGGCTGGTACGTTAATTATATCCCTGGAACAGAGAGACAAACATAAAAATATCAAACATAAAAATACCCCAAAAAATCATAAACACATAAAATAACCCCACAAATTATACATCATTAAAAAGCCCTGATCTGAGCACCCAAGTTCTTCAAATAGCACTCAGATCCATGTAGTGTAGGGGAAACGCCACCGTGTTAAAGTTCTGACTAGCCGCACACATGGTTCTGTGCCCAAAACAGTTCCAGGGCGTTTGGTGCTTTGGCCGGTCAACTTTCATGAGCTTCTGCAGCCACAATATGGGGTGCTCCACCTGGGTCGCTGGTAGCGTCTGTTCCTCTTAATCTCAGACACCTTCCCTCCAAAAAGCGCTCTCCTGGCGGATTGCAAAGTCATTCAAAATCTCGGACCAAGTTGTCTGAGGTGACCGGTAACCCACGAAGTCCTAATGCCAATTTTAGTTCCACGATGATCACGACTTAGTACCGCTGAGGAAGATGCGTGGGTTTCTTCATGCGAACAGCCACCAGGGAGCTGGTGTTCGGTTCTATTCGAATGAAAGGAAAGTGACGAACCAGGGGCAGCCAGGGAAAGCTGCTAATGGTGGCTGGGGAGATTAAACTCCCAAACAGGGTCTTTGGATACGGCCCATAGTCCTTGGGCAGGAGGCTAGCTAGCAGGCTCCTCCATGAGCTCGTGACATAAGCACATTTGCCACAACGCAATCTTCCTTAACTCACATGCCAGGGCAGACTTAGACGTGTGGGAAACGTCATCTTGGAACGGAAAATCGTTATTAATTCCACCTATTTCGAACAATTCGCCAATGATTTGGACTGATTCAGCTGCTTTGGTGGGTTATGCGGCAATATTTGGCAATGAATAGGTTCAGTCGCGCTGGCCTGCCGAAGTGTCTCAATTGGCTAACTTTCTGAATCGCTCCGCTCTGTTCAAAATATTCACTCTTGTTGTAGCGGCCTTTCTCTGGGGTCATAAATGGAAGGGACATGTGTTAGATGCCTCACTAACAGCCAGTCTGCAGCTCATATAATAAACAAGGGCAGATCTCAGTCTCTCACCATCATGAGACTTGTCAGGAAACTAACATGGTTAGCAGCATCTGACCAGTTTTACCTTGAATATTTTCATGTACCTGGTATCTGTAATAAGGCAGCTGACGCGCTATCACGCTCTAAATTTCAGGAGTTCTTTCTAATCCACCCGTCAGCCAAGCCTGACTCCAAGGATTCTCTGGAATTACAAGACCTGTTAATGGACTAGATTTGTCCCAGAGTACAGTTTTGGCCCAAGCGGTCTGTCCTCTAACACAAGGACTACGTATGCTAGAGCGTATAAACTGTTTCAGAAATTTCTGTGTGATTTTCAGATAATAAATATGTTTGCTATTAAAACCCTGGTCGCATTTACTACATTGTGCCACTTTTCCTTAAACTTAGCATTTAATACAATCAAATTGTTAATGTTAATCACCTTCTCTAACAAAAAACCTTTTCTAGCCTCATACCCAATAAAAAGTGTCTTGAAAGGCATACTAAATTTTAAAATAGAAAGGCCTCCAAAAAGACTGCCTATTGACAGCAGTAAGTTTCGATGCTTTTCGGACTTGTTAGATAAAGCCCCTTTCGAACCAAATACCAACTTAATTCTCAAAGCCCCTATGTATCTCGCTTTTTATGGTTTCTTAAGACCTAAAGAGTTTACAGTAAATAAAATTTCTGACCTTGAATTATGCCTTAAGTTTTCAGACTTAATCAAGAATCACGATCATTATATCTTATCTTTACAACATACAAAAACTTGTCAAGTAGGATACGCAGTACAGATATCTTACTATCCTACAGGTTATAAATGGTTCCCCATTATGGTATTTGACTTATTAAAACATTCTCTACATAATCTTAAATCAAATTCCTCTTTACTCGCAATACACAGCAATCCTCTTACAACTCAAAAATTCATGTTATACTCAAGAACATTATTGGTTAAACTTGGTCTCAACCCTACCTCATTTACGAGACACTAATTTCGTATGGGAACCGCAACAGCAGCTTCCAGCCACAATACTCCTGCACACATCATAAAAAACATGGGCCGGTGGAAATCTTCAGTACATTGCAAGTACGTGCACGTTGAAATATATACCAAATTAGAAAAAGGGTGCACTTACAGGTCTTTCCATAAATTAACTGGTGTTTATTGGAACATAAAGTCACAAAAATAACTGATCGATTTTTCAAACCGTTCGGGTCTTGGTCTCATCTTCACCAATCTCTGTATCACCTCTAATCTCTGTTGTTCTATTTCCTTTGTCTGACCATCGTCTGCTGACCATTGATATCAGCATACCCCGTACCCAAATTTCACCACCCTCAACTCACCAATCTCGCAGAAACCTCCACTGCCTTGACCTCCAGCAATTTTCCACCAAACTCTTTTACCCATCTCAAATCTCACGTGTCCTAACGCTAACCTCATGGCACCTCCTACATTTAAACACAGCAAGAGCTCCCAATTACAACCCTGGTACACCAAGCTGACCCGATTGCTCCAAAAATGTTCCAGAACTGCTGAACACTGCTGGAGAAAGTGTCTGCATCTGACTTCCTCCATTATAAATGTATGCAGCGTTCCTACAGCTTGGCTATTACATCTGTAAAAGTAAACTAATTTAGCACCCTCATAAGCATACTCACCTGCAAACTCAAATGTCTATTTCACAATTTGAATGCTCTTCTTCGCCCTGTTGCTCCCCCTCCTCCCACCACAAACTTTGCAACTCACTTCACTGAGAAGATTTCTACAATCAGGAAAGAGATATCTACCAATACTTCCCCCAAACCCTCTTTCTGCTCTGTTCCAGTCTTCCAGCACCACCATCTGTTTCCTCGATCCTATTCCCACATATCTCATCCGCACATTGTTTCCTTCTCTTGCGCTCCATCTCTCTAAAATTTTCAATCCTTCCCTTTCCTCTGGCACATTTCCTTCACCCTTCAAACATGCAACTGTAACCCTAATTCCGAAAAAAAACAACCTTGTCCCTAACTCCCATCCTATTACCGCCCTATCTCACTACTGCCATTTGCGTCAGAGATCCTTGAGAGTTGTGTATGCGAGATTGACAGACTTGCTTGAATCCAATTCTCTGCTTGACCCACTTTAGTCTGGAGTCCGCACTTGTCACGCTGTTGAGATGCCAGCAACACAAGTATCCAATAATTTATCACTGATAAATCTCGAGGTCATTATTCTATTCTAATTCTTCTTGACCATTCTGCTGCTTTTGACATGGTGATTGATAGCTTCTTTTCGTTCTCCTTAATCTCGGTCTATGGGATACTGCTCTCTCCTGGTGCTCCTAGTACCTTTCCCAGCTCTCTTTTCTCTGGCTCTGCCTCTTCTCACCAACTCCTATCTTTTGGTGTTCCGCCAAGGTTCTGTCCTTGGTCCCTTACTGTTCTCTATACTGCCTCCCTTGGTAAACTTATTAGCTCCTTTGGCTTCTATTATAATTTATATGCAGATAACACACAAATCTACCTGTCCTCTCCCAGACCATCTTGACTTGTGTCATCTAACAGCCTCTTTGCAATTTCTAACTGGATGGCTGCTCACTTTTTTTAAACTCAACCTGTCCAAAACAAAACTTCTGGTCTTTCCTCCATCAAGTGTTATCTGTCTCCCTCCAAGTCAACGACCATCACCTATACCTCACAGGCTCAGTGCCTAGGTGTTCTCTTTGACTCTGACCTCTCCACCCCTCATATCCAGTAGATCACCAAATCCTGCTGCTTCCATCTCAAAATCAGCACGCATCCGCCTAAAACACCAGACCCGGGTTAGGTGCTGGTCCATGCCGTTGTTCTCTCTAGACTTGAAAAAAGTCTAATTTACCATTGTGTATAGTGTAGTTGTGATTACCAGCCTGTTGAGGGACAAATCTCTGCCAGAAGCCAATAGTCACCAACATAATGAATGTAAAGTTGCTGAACATGTTAAGCTTACCCCCTGCTTTCAAACACTAGAGGAAGTTTCACTGGGTGATGAGCATTCCTCCAGTCAAGGAGACAAGTGAATGGTCTACCATTATGCATTACATTAGCAGTCCAGAGATTGACAAAGATTACTATAGCAGTATGAAATACCTTTATATTAAGCTTGCATGATTGAACTGTATGTGGGCATTATGCTCTAATGCATGTATTTTACATTATGTAGCAGTATTTAGTAAGCAGCACTGCTACTAATTGCTTCAGGGTCCTTAGATACATATAAGCAAATGTTTGACACCAGCAAGGAAAATAATTCCACTTTTATACTAACATTTCAGACCGTGTGTGAAATATTGCAAGATAAAATGTATAAAGCTTTGTGTGCATTCGGTTTTTCCCTACCTGCTATTTTGTTTCGTTAAATGTATTGCCTTTATTGTGGATTATTCGTTAAAATAGCCATTTTACCGAACGAGGACCACCCTGAGTAGCGATTAGAACATAGAATCTTGTGAAACCGCAAGCTAATTGAGTGCTCCTGGGTGGCCGCCGTTTCGGGACACAAACACGTGGTGAGAGCAATGAATGGCGGCCATCTTATACTCCCGAATGGCCAGTCAGCAGGACTTAGGCGTCGAGCGCCTATTACTATTTTCGGCATTGCCCCCCCATAGAAGTCCCGTCTGACCCATTTCCCATAAACTATACATGAATGGCATTCGGGAGTTTCAATCTACCGAACGAGGGGAACACTCATGTAACCAGCTACCTTACATCAATGAGGGTTTTCATGTAAATTGTCCCGAACGGAGACCGGCTCGCACCACTTATTCCATGGAACTCTGAGTCGGCTACAACCACGTGGCGACACGGTCAAACTTCCACACTGTAACTACCAAACAGATTCTCACAAAATTTGGATATATTACTCCCATCACCTACCCAGGGATATTGTTTTTATATTGATATATTTGTAAAGTATATTTTTAAGAAGTGTGAAAATTGTAACTTTTCTGGCCAGACAATAATGGAGTTTGATAAGCTGCTCAAACACAATTATCTATCCTGGCCCAAAGGAGTTTTGTACTGTATAAATTGTGTGCCTTGTTTCTCAGTAAAAATCAGACTTGTTCCAGCATTAAGCCTTGGCTCGTGTGGATTATTTGGCGATACCAGCAATTTATTACTCTGAATTACTTGGTGATTTTATGGGAAGAAGTGAATGCTTGATGGAGTAAAAGGATTGTACCATCACACTTTGCATTTCCAATATTGTTAAAGTATGAACAAAGGAGCAAAAAAAAAAGTGTAAATGTAATTAACTTATCTTAGCAATCTATACTGAAAGCAAGTATTTTAGCATCTATGCACACCTTGCTTCAAATGTATGCCATGTAATGTTTTACAGTCAAAAATGTTGGGGAAGGCAGTATATATAGATATGCACCCACTTTAATTCTAAATTAAAGAACTTGGTAAGTAACCAGTTCTTTTAATAGACTGTAAAGGTTTAAACATTTAACTGGTGGTAATAAGCAGAGGACTCAGTCATCTCCATTGCTAATGTATTTTTATAATAAAAATGGAAGAAAGTAACCCATTTCAAGTGAATACCAGTAGCTCATGGTTTGCACATTCCTGCACAAAAGCCAGAACCTGAATTTGCTGCATGCAGTCACTTTCAGTGGACAACACACCAGGAAACACTGACAAGCATAGAAAGAATTTAATGCTGTCTCTGCACTACATTTTCCCAGCAATGTTGAGTGAGCAGGGATGCTTTAAATTCCATTAGAAGGATGTTCTTCTCACCCTCTAAAATGAATTAGAATGTTATAGCTCAATTGGCCATTGCTTCAAGTTGAGTTTCTTGCCTTATTTTGGATCAAAAGAATTTCTGTGTTTTAAAAATTGAACTTTCCCTGGGGTATTATTTTCAACCTGATTATTGTTGAACTAAAAATGAACTAACCACTTGTTCATTATAACTTTTATACTTCATGTTAAATTCATTATAATGTATTCTTGGCATCTACTCACTAGTATGGTGTTACAAACAATATAATTGAAGCTTACTTTACCATGGTGAATTGTATCAATTAACATTAATTGAGGGTCAGTCTCATGCCTCTGACAATGCTCCCATAATTTCATAGCAGCCTGGTCAATGCCATATGACACCACTGCACATTAACAATTTCATTAGACTGGCAGTATTTGCAATGGTGTAACAGGGCTTGAGTTAAGCTTACAATGTTTAGCTACTAGAGAACAGTGCGACATTTTAGCTCAAACAGAAGATTAAATAGTATAGAACTCAGCTGATCTGGATGCAACTGCTTTATGAGCTACTACAAAAAGACCAAATGCTACAGGAAGAAAAAATATATAAGCCTTATAAATGCAGAAAGGACAATAGTTTGGGTTCAATATTTATTTGAGGACCTCCCAATTTGATATTTTAACATGTATAAAACGGACATTCTTTTTGTGGTTTGAAAATTGTAGAAGATGTTTATGTCCATAAGATGTTCATGTTTCTGTTGATACCAGTGCGCTACGAATAATTCTTCCATGGTCACCAGATTGTGACAGGTTTTTCCATAGAGGGAATATGTTTAGTCCAGCTGAGGAAAGAGCACATGAAAATATTTTTAAATAAGGGGACGCATACAGATTAAAGGGATCACTAAACAACTTTGAATGGTGGCAAATAAGGCACCTAAAGCCAGCTCAGAGCTTCAGAGATTGCTTTTACAAATCGCTATTTGATGCCATTCTATGAGATGGCCCCTAAGAGCACTTAGTTGCCAGGTTGTTTTTGTCCAAGTTTGTTGTTTGCAAGCATAACTTTGGACTGCCCAATTCCTAGAAGACAACACCAAGTCAGGGACAGTAGCATGGATGTTTGTTTACAGAGTAGTTCCACCCATTGTAAGTGATAAGTTACTTATTCCATAAGCTTCTTTAGTGCAAGCATCATCTTTATAAGGAAGGTATTTACAGACCTAATGGTTTGGGCGAAATAAGGAGTAACTTAGAGTAGGTTTAGGATTTATTTTAAAGATTAATTTTTACCCCAATAATTCTGTCAAATAGGCTTGTTTTTACAAACTACTAAAGTAATCATAAGATCAATTTCAGAATAGAAAAAGTAGCTTTTTTTTTTAACCAAACACACCAAAAACATTTTAATACCTTAGCAAGAGGCAAACTAATGTTAAGTTATATGGCAAGCCTGTGGAGCACATCGACAGGATTTCACCTGACTTTCTCACTGCACGTACACTCACAGCTTACAGTCACGAGTTGCCTATTACCTGACCGTGTCAAAAAAGTTATATGCAGAGTCTGCAGGTATAAGAGCTGCAGCTTTTGCAAGCTACAATAGTGTATCTACTAAATCAGGGCTCAAATCTCAGGCACCAGGTAGACTAGAAATTTCACCCTGCTGTCTTGGATGTCCTTTAATTAAAGCGGCCACCCAAGGTAATATTAAAGCTGGCCATACGGCTGAGGCAGCAAGGAGCCGCCTGCAAGAGCATTGTAGGTGGTGTGCGAGCAGTAATATTCCTGCCGTTCCTCTCTGCTCCTTCACGTACTGTTTAATGATGGCAGGAGCCGGAATATGACACCACTCTGGCCCCAGCATCACTACAAAGAGCAGAAAGAAGCTGCAGGTAGATTACTGCTCCCTCACACAGAAAAGATCTACTCTGCTCTCACAAAGTTAGGGAGACTGTGTGGATTTCAGTTAAAATAGAAAGGTCAGTTTGTGATGTGTACGTGTATAAAAAGGACTCAAGTAGCATTCTGAGTGACTCACTAGAGGTGTTACTAGGCAGCATTGTAAACACTGCCTTTTCTAGGAAAAGGCAGTGTTTATATTGAAAGGTCTGCAGGTACAGGCTATAGACACCAGAATAACTACATTAAGCTGTAGTGGCACTGGTGTCTTCAGAATTGCATTTTTTGTTGAAAACTAAACAGAAAATTTAAATAAATAAAATCTGGCACCTAACTTTTAGCCGGTTCCTACATTCCAAACAATTTTGTCAAACCCTTTACTAAAATAGTAATTTTATCTTACTGACAGATTTCCATGATAAGGACTCAAACACCACTCGTAGAAAATAGGGAAAGAAATTTTATTTATTGAACAGAAATGTTTGGAAAATTTATTTTGATAATGAAAATACTATATCTGTTACTTGACAGAGCTTGTGACATTAGCAAAGAGACATTAAGCACGCAGGGTTATTTACTAAATTTGCAGAAGCTTTGACTATAGCAAAATTTTTTCTAGATCAGCTATCTTTGCTTTCGTTTTCCAATTTGGATTTTATATACAAATTTCTGAGTTTCGTTAACTGATAGCTTCTGGTAAATGATAAATTTAACCAACAGTTTGATTTGATGAGAATAAGAGATTACATATAAAAGGGAACAACGTTTATTATACAGGGTTGAGCCATTGAGACCAGCATTTGCTTTAATATCCCCTTAAACTAACTGAAACCTGAGACTTCTGCACTTTATATAAATACATAAAAATGCAGGTTGACTCCTCTAGTCAAGAGCTCAATTAGCAGCCTTTAACCCGGGTCTGTTTTTATCCAACAAATGCCTCCTCAGAAAGTGTATATGTAATTCGTAGTTTACCTGCCAGGAGCAGTTTCACTTATCACATAGGATGTGACTGACTACTTTATAAGTTTACAGCAGGAGTATAACAGGGGACCACAATATACCATAACTAATGCAGGGAAGTGTCAATTTAAAGTGGGCTGTTATAGCAAGCCTGAAGTATTTCATTAAAGGTGCAGCATAATGACTTCAACACTGTTGCTGTTCTGGTGCAAGGTTTACTTGACAGTTCAATTACTAAGTGACTACTAGAACACATACCTTGACAAAGCCAATATCCTTTGCATATTGCCTGAAACATTGACGGCACATGTTCAGTCCATATTTGCGGATCAATCCATGTCTGTTAGAGCACACGCGGCTAGGAAAAAGAGATGGCATTAAAACAATATAAGCCATAGAGGGGGAAAAAAAAAATAGCCAACATTAAAGGGACACTATAGATACCCAGATTATTTAAGCTCATTGAAGTTGTCTGGGTGCAGTGTTCCTGTTTCTTTAACCTTGCAATTTAAAAAAACATTATTGCAGTTTTACCAGACACTGGAGCCACTACCTGACTCCATGAAACAGTGCTGGACATGCTCACACATTGCATGAGGACATCACCATGTTGAATAAATTGATAGGAAAGCATTGATTCAATGTCTTCCTATGGAGAAGACCTAATGCGTTCACACTGATCGCCATGCATGCACATTAGGTCCCCTGCCCATTGGATGACAGGAATCGGGTAAGTTTTTAAATGGATTCTAACCCTTTCCGGGTTAAAAACCAAAGGAGGCAAGTTTAAAGGAATATTCCAAACACCATGACCACTACTACGCATTGTAGTCATCAACCTATTCCTGTAACATTTTATTGTCTGCTTAATTTTCCCCTTTAAAATATTGTAAAGAGCTGTTGAATAAGTTGGTGCTATATAACTGCCATAAATAGCACATATGTCATGAGTGCCTTTTAGAACGTTTCACCTCTTACCTGAAGTCCACTAGTAGTTGCTCCTCTCCCACAGCTCAATGAGAGCCAGAAGCTCTTGGGCTTCACTCAGAGGGCAGGAGCAGCATTCATTTCTCACTGAGCTATAGAGTGAATATAGTGGTGCCCAGAAAACCTAGATATGTGCCCATAAAGCTTATTTAGTTTGAGAAACGGTGCATAGAGCATAAAGACACACATTAGGCTTTTTGGAAGAACTCTTAAGCCCTGAAGCTCAGTAACTTAACACAAAGCAACATCCAAGTCAGATAGTGATGGTAGTGGTTAAAGTCACACCTTATTTTACCAGGGGACATCAAGTGTTAAAATCCAACACTACCATTTTATGTCAGTAATTATTGTTGCTCTGCTAGGCCCTAAAATGAATACAAACTTCTAGAACACACGTGAGTTCTACAAACGTTCTCTTCTATGCAAGCCCCGGTGCCACACAAAAGCAGCATGTACCAAGGGGAAGTGTGGATTGAATAAGCCTTAGCATACAGACTTGCTTGCATAATCATTACATTTGGAATTTATATAGCGCCAGCCTATGCAGCAGAGATTAATAATAAAATGGGGGGGAATTTAACAATAAATGGGACGGTTACAAAACACTACACGAACAATAGATGAGGATTGGGGTAAAGACAGACCCCTTGTGATAGGACATGGGACGATGATCTCACGCTGGTGAGGAAGGTATTAGTCCTAGAATTGTCCCATGATACAGTGTGAGGCAGCCATGATGAGCAGCCGCCATTACCTGCCTCCCCGCCATGATGGTCCCCACGAGGCCTAAAGCCCTGGGACCAACACTACACGCATCCCCTGCCCCCACCCCTCACAGGGCAGCACCCCAGCCCTAGCACGGACCGCCCTGATACCCACCAGGAGCGGGACCCCTGTCCGAACTTCCTCGGGTGGCTCCAGTACAGCTGCTGGTGACCCATCTCGACCGGTTGCGAGCTCTGAAAAGGAAGAGGAGGAGTCTGGCAGCGGCTAATCAACACTGGCCTGCCCGCTCCCACAATGCACCATTACGGCGGACACGCCCCCACAGAAGTGTTATAAACACAAAAGTCACGATAACAGTAGACAGGGCACAGGGACAGTTTGCTCGAATCCCTTACAGAAGCATTCCAGCGCGCTCAGGTAGCAAGGAGAGGCTGTCTCTAGCGTTTAAAACTTTTTTTTTTTTTTTTTACTAAATAACTTTATTGACAACGTTATTTGTGTGACATGTTCGTTGTCACTTACTCTGCCTGGATGCACAGTGATGGCTGTTTTCTGGCAATCCATGTGCTTTGAAAAGGTTGCTAACAAAGGCTTCATTATTATTATTTTATTATTTATATAGCGCCATCAGATTCCGTAGCTTCATCAACAATAAATGTTTAAAACACAAAACCTTTTGTCTCTTAAGTTTATAAAATCTGTATGTTTTTAAGCCTCTCAAAGGATATTATTATTATTTTATTATTTATATAGCATCATCAGATTCCGTAGCGCTGTACAATGGGATTATAGAAGGGAACTGGTGCCAGCTTTGCCACATCTTTTTCTTACAATAGTCCAATGAGTAGGCAGTCATTTTAAATGGTTACTCAAACCACCATAATCATTTAAGTGATATTAAGTGGTCATGGTAGTAGGAATCTGTATTTGCAGTGCTTCTGCTGGAAGTGCCGCACATACAGAGAAATATGCAACACTCTGCCAGGTGCTAATTACAACCCACAGCACAGATGACTTTACAGTTCTGGGATGCCTAATGTCAATTCTGTACATAAAATGCATACTTTGTTAGCGCACAATGCATGCTGGTAGCATATGACGTATTGAGCTTCTCTCTTGCACATCTGAGCTGGCAAAACAGTCCAATCACAGCCTTCTCTATGGGGCAAATTAGTAGTGTCCAATAGGACATTTTAAATCAAACCCCCTAAAGATTTGGTGTTACCCTTTAAGGGTTTTAATAAACTTTGGAGCATGTGATGTCAATGGCTCAAGGGAACTTAATCAGTTACTCTAACCACCATGACCACTTCTACTTTTAGAAGTGGTCGTGATGCTAGGAGTCTGTATGTGCAGCCTTTCTAATTGAAACGCTGCGTATACATAGTACTCTGCATGTGACTAAAAATGCTCCGGGCTGCCTAATGTTAATTCTGTACAAAAATGACATCTCTTGTCAGTGTGCTCCCTCCACATATCATACAATATCCAGGCATTCTTTTTTTCTTAAAGGGACACTATAGTCACTAGAACAACCAGAGATGAATGTAGTTGTTCTAGTAAGTATAGTCAGTCCCTGCAGGTCATTTGTTGTGAACACTGTCTTTTTAGAGAAAAGGCAGTGTTTACATTAAAGGGACACCATAGTCACCCAGACCACTTCAGCTCAATGAAGTGGTCTGGGTGCCAGGTCCCCCAGGTTTTAACCCTTCACATGTAAACATAGCAGTTTCTTCCTGACAGCCGCAAGGGGGGCGCTTCTGCGACGCTGGATGCGAAAACCGCATCCAGCTTGCAAAACATCCATAGGAAAGCATTGAGAAAAGCTTTCCTATGGACTGTTAGAATGCGCGTGGCTCTTGCCGTGCATGCGCATTCTGCTCCACTCGGGAGCTGATGTTGGCAGGGGAGGAGAGATCACCAGCACCGAGGGAGCCCGGCGCCGGATTAAGGTAAGCTGCTGAAGGGGTTTTAACCTTCAGTGCCACAGGAGGCAGACCGTGAGGGTCCCCCAAGGATGACATAGTGTCAGGAAAATGGGTTTGTTTTCCTGACACTATAGTGATCCTTTAAAGCCTATGGACACCTCCAGTGGCCACTCCTCAGCTCGCTACTAGAGGTGCTTCCTGGGGCAGTGCTGTACACACTGTGACATTCAGCACAGATGCTACAATTTCCTCATAGAGATGCATTAATTCACTGATTGGCTAGGGCAGTGTTTTACCTCGCCCAGCCTCCTTGCCGATCTCAGCCAATCAAATGCTTTCCCACTGCTGTACACACTATGACATTCAGCGGAGACGCTAAACTTTCCTCATAGAGATGCATTAATTCACTGATTGGCTATGGCCGAGCCTCCTTGCCGATCTCAGCCAATCCAATGCTTTCCCTGTGGGAAAGCATTGGATTGGCTGAGATCATCAATTCTAATTATGTCAGCCCAAGAGGCGAGTTGGGGGCAGGGCCTGCGCCTGCAGACCCGTAGAGAGCCGGAAATAAGTTAAGTTTTAAACCTTTCTTAGGGGGCTAGGGGTGGGCAAGCCACCTAAATTGTGGTTTTAACACTATAGGGACAGGAATACATGTGTGTGAGAAACATTAGATTGGACAATGAGTGGCAGAAATTATGTTGACTGAGGTGTTGAAACCAGTGAGGGTAGCTTTGCCCAACACTGGATTTCAGTGAAATGTAATCTTTATTTGTAGGATTATAAAGGGGATCTGGTTAATGCTCATTAGGGCATTGTAAACTTAAGAACAAGAGTTTTATAAATTATATTATTTGCCATGTTTTCAGCCATATTACTACTCCTTTAGTTGGGTTATGCTATTATTCGACCCATTACTCATGGTCAGTGCGTTTACAAGATGGTGGGTGACATCATCTATTATTATTATTGGAATTTATATAGCACCAACTTATTTTGCAGTACTTTACAATATTATGAAAAATGTTACTGCATATGAAGCAAACTATTACAGATTTTGACAGGACCAATAGGTTGATAAGGACCCTGTTCAAAAAAAGCTTAATTACTAGGGGTGGAGATGTAAAACACAATAGGAAGGACAGTCTCCCACATTTTAATTGCTGCTCCTGAGGGCCTGCGAATTCTATAAAATATCATGTTAATCAATTTTTTTTTAAAGTGTGTTTAATGGTAATTTTTAATCATTTGAAATGACCATTGAATTCTCTCTCACTCACTCTAAAAAAAAACTATTTCCAGGATATTACCCCTATGGAGCCGCACACGTCATATCATCAGGTAGAATATCCCCCTTCACGTTATGCGTAGGAGCACAGGGTAGTCGTGTGAAATGCAGCGCTCCTACGCAAAGTCTAATAGCGCATCGGACATCAAGGAGCCCCTGTCATGACAGCTAAAATAGCAGAGGGGGGTAGTAATATTCTGTAGGTGTGCAGAGAAGGCGCAACCATCGCCTGGGGCGCAGGCTATGATTGTGCAGCCACACCTTACCCTGCCAGGTGATTGCAGAGGGACTAGGGAGCGGGTAGTGCAATTACACCTTCGGTGTGACACCTTACCTACCTTGCTGAGACTGCAGTTTGCAGATAGAGCGAGTGGAGTGGACACTCCAGACAGTATAATTACTACTGAGATAGTAAGTAACCCCCCAATTGCAGCCTCTATACCCTACTAGATTCCGTTCCACCCAATTGCAGCCCCTTACTCCTGTACTACAGCACCAAACTCCCCTATTTTAGCCCCTATCTCTCCAACTACAGCCCCTAGCCCTCCCACTACAGACTCTATCCCACCAATGTATACAACAGCCTTGAAACACAACTCAGGAAGAGGAGCAAAACCAGTGAACTACTCATGGACAGCTGTTTCATTGTTAATGCAACTCATCAGCATGAGGTTGGTTACTGGCTTTGCTCCTCTTCATTATTATTATTATTATTTTATTATTTATATAGCGCCAACAAATTCCGTAGCGCTGTACAATGGGTGGACTAACAGACACATAATTGAGATCAGACCACTGACGTACAGGAACAGAGGGGGTTGAGGGCCCTGCTCGATGAGCTTACATGCTAGAGGGAGTGGGGTATAGTGACACAAAGGGTTAAAGTAGGGGAATTAAATAGTTTGTTACAGAAGGGTTTATTGAGTGCTTGGTAGGTCATTTTTGACAGGTGAAGGAACGGAGTCATGGGGTGGGGGATGAGAAACCTGCTGACAGTTTAATTGATACGCTTTAATAAAGAAGTGAGTTTTCAAAGATTTTTTGAAGGAATGGAGGCTGGGTGAAAGTCTGATTGAGGAGGGAAGGGAGTTCCACAGAATAGGTGCAGCCCTGGAGAAGTCTTGAAGGCGAGCATCAGAGGTGGGGATCCGGGCAGAGGATAGGAGTAGGTCTTGGGCTGAGCGCAGGGGTCTCGACGGGACATACTTGTGTATGAGGGAGGATAGGTATGTTGGAGCAGCATTATGTAGGGATTTGTAAGCAAGCGCCAGAATTTTGAATTGGGCCCTATATCTAACTGGAAGCCAATGCAGGGACTGACAGAGCGTGGAGGCGTGGGAGGTGCGACCGGACAGGAAAATAAGCCTCGCAGCCGTATTCATTATAGATTGCAGCGGTGCAAGCTGGGAACATGTAAGACCGGTGAGAAGGGGATTGCAATAGTCAAGGCGAGAGAGAACAACAGCATGAACCAGTACCTTAGCCGCGTCCGGCGTTAGATATGGGCGGATGCGCGCTATGTTCTTGAGTTGGAAGCGACAGGATTTGGCTATCGATTGAACATGGGGAGTAAAAGAGAGATCAGAATCAAAAAGAACCCCTAGGCAGCGAGCCTGGGAGGTAGAGGTGATAGTAGCGCCGTTGACTTGGATGGCGACAGACACAGGAGTAGCAGCACTTGAGGGAGGAAAAACTAGAAGTTCTGTTTTGGACAGGTTGAGTTTAAGGAAGTGAGCAGCCATCCAGTTGGAAATAGCAGAGAGGCAGTCAGAAACACGAGTCAAGGTGGGCGGAGAGAGATCAGGGGAGGACAGGTAGATTTGCGTGTCATCTGCATATAAATGGTATTGGACGCCAAAAGAGCTGATGAGTTTACCAAGGGAGGCAGTATAGATAGAGAACAGTAGGGGGCCGAGGACAGAACCCTGGGGGACACCGACAGGGAGGGGTTGGGGAGAAGAGGCAGAGCCAGAGAAAGAAACACTGAAGGAGCGCTGGGAGAGGTAGGAGGAGCACCAGGAGAGAGCAAAATCCCGTAGACCAAAGTTACGGAGAATGTGAAGAAGCTGTTGATGATCAACAGTGTCAAAGGCGGCAGAAAGATCAAGGAGGATTAGGATAGAGTATTGGCCGCGAGATTTAGCAGCAATTAAATCGTTGGATACTTTGGTCACAGCAGTTTCGACAGAGTGACCAGCGCGGAATCCAGACTGAAGGGGGTCAAGCAGAGAGTTGGATTCAAGAAAGTCTGTCAATCTGGCGTAGACAACTCTCTCGAGGATCTTGGAGGCAAATGGCAGTAGCGAGATAGGGCGGTAGTTGGATGGGGAGTTGGGATCGAGGTTGGGCTTTTTCAGAATTGGGGTTACGGTTGCATGTTTGAAGGCAGAGGGAAATGTGCCAGAGGAAAGGGAGAGATTGAAAATGTTAGCGAGAGGAAGAGCAAGAGAGGGAGACAAAGTGCGGATGAGATGCGAGGGAATAGGATCGAGGGAGCAGGTGGTGGGGCGGGAGGACAGGAGCAGAGCAGAAACCTCTTGTGCTGTAGCAGGTGCAAATGAGCTTAGGATGACAGGGGGAGAGGGGTTGGGTGATGGATCTGAAGACAGAGATGATAGGGTCAAAACAGGACTGCAATAAAAGCTATGGAATGGAGATGCACAGAAGAGGTGAGGATTGGTCAAGCAAGACATTCGGGTGGGTATCAATAAAATAAGGGGGGGGGGGAGAAGAAATAACAGAGAAAATCTTTAGAGATAAGCAGGATGTTGAATAACATTTAAGTTAACAAAACCAATGTTGAGCAGGGCAGGGAGCAACTAGCTTTAGCATGCAGGACAAGACAAACTGCAGAATATATGTGTGTGTGAGCAAACACACACACACACACACACTATATATATATATATATATATATACACACACACACACACACAAACACACTAAAGAGCAAGCACGTCCAGTTAAGATACAATGACAAAGAAATGGTGGTTAGAGATATATAGTTTAAAAATATGCAAGGGGTTAAAATTCAATACAATTATAGTGTCCAGTATTAAGGGTAGATAGTTTCCTCCATAGTCTACCTTGCAGAAACTCAGACATGCATAAGGCCTTTCCTTCCAGCTGTAGGTGATCTGAGCACTGTTCAGGTTTGCTAGTGGTCTTTTAAAACTCAGACTTGCAGAACATGAGTTGTGTTTCAAAGCTATTGTATAGAGCAGACACCTACTCCAAGGAATCCATGTATAAAGTGGAATTGTGAGGCAAAAATGTGGTTCTTTGTTGAGCTCGTTTGCATATGCCTACCCAGAATCTCTTGCAGTAATGAGAGCACTGTTAAAGTGAGATTTCTGTTGGAAAAGCAAGTCTTATGGCTTGATTGGTGTGTGTATTTGTGTTTAGCAATGCATTAACTATTGAACTAAGATAGATAGATAGATGATATTCAGTGGTAATTTCATCATAAGTGGTTAAAATCTACGGACTATGCTGAGAATGATACGGTGTTATAAATCTCAGAAAGAAAAATTAACATTAAGCCTACATAAGTAAATCCGGTACATTTGAGAGAGGCTGACTAGATTGACTATTGCACATTAATCATTCACCAAAGTCTTTATTTTTTTCACTGAACAGTAGTAAAATATTCTGTAACTCATATTAGCTATAAAGCTATTATCATCTAATTATGGCTAATTATCCAATTCTCGAGTCTCTTAATCCTTTGCAGCACCACAGGGAACAATTGTATAGCAGTTTTGCACTGTTACATTTTAATATCTCTATGCAATGAGATAGCAAAAACGAGAGACTCAGAGCAGGCTCCTGCTGTGGGTTTTATGTCATTATTGAGAAACAGTATGGGATGTATTTAGCATTCACAGAACAATCATAAAACTATTTAGGGTTTTTAGCAAAGATATCTTTTTAAAAGATAATTTGAGGACCTAATGACATTTCATAGGGTACAAATGTAGTAATATGCATGTTTCATTACACTCATGGAGGTGATTTCTTGCCCGATTTACCCAGCAGCGATGCGGATACCATGAAATGGATGTAAAGACAGTGGAAAAGGGGCTAAGAACTTAAAAGGTAGAGTCCAGAAATGGCAAGGGCAGAAATATTCTTCATTTGGACTCCATTGTAAATACACAGGTAAATATATAAGAAGTGACTGTAACCACTCCCCATAGGGATGTGCGATGCGGACGCGGCGCATATAGGGAGGACATATCAGATACATATCGCAAAAGATCATATTAAATATTTGGGAATCTGCTTAACGGCGGACCCCTCTCTTTTGCCCCAACAGAATTAAACACCACTTATCAGGGCATTAATACGGGATATGGAGAAGTGGGTAGACAAACCAATCTTGTGCATCGGGAGAATACATTCGGTGAAAATGAATGTACTGCCCCGGATATTATTCCTATTTCAAGCACTCCCGATACACCTGACCAAGTCTAGCTTGGGAGCACTACAGCAGGCCATAGGTAAGTTTATCTGGCAGAACAAGAAACACAGGGTCTCCCAAAATGTGCTGTATAGAGCTAAGAATAGGGGGGGACTGGGGCTGCCGAACCTGTACTATTATTATGTGGCTGCCCAGTTAGCCCAAATAGCGCTATGGCATACACCCCCTGAAGAGAGGAGATGGGTAGACTTGGAGTCCTCTTTAATGGGCCCGGACCTCCCGCAGTTCCTCATATGGATCCCTAAGGAACTCAGATCTCTGGACAGAGCACCTTGTCAAGCCGTTCAGGCCTCTCTCAGAGTCTGGGACACAGCTGCCATCAAATATGGCCTGACATCTACCTTATCTCCAATGACCCCGTTCTTGAGAAATAGAGATTTTCTCCCGGGCATGCAGGCTAGGAACCTTCGGGGTCTCGAAGCCGCAGGGCTGCAGAGACTATTCCACTTGTTTGACAATGACTCCTTTGTCACATTTGAGACACTAAAGAGCAGGACCCCATTAAAACCGTTCAACTACTTTCGCTACCTTCAGCTCAGAGATTATGCCTGAGATACCAGGATAAAAACAGCAGCGCAGACGCCATTGACGTTTTTCGAAAGGATGTGTTCCAGGGAACAATTCCCGAGCGGCCTAATCTCCTGTTTATATGCTCACCTGAGTACTCACACCCTGGAATGGGGAGACATTACATACATTGAGAAGTGGGAAGCAGATTTGAATGAAGTGCTAGAGGGGGTTGAATAGCCGGAAATATCGGAGGCGACTGCAACATCCTCGGTATGCGTGTCTGTGCAAGAACAATCATATAAAACTTTGTTTAGGTGGTATACTACTCCAGAGACGCTGTGCCACATGCGTAAGAACCTGACAGACTTGTGCTGGAGGGGGTGCGGACAGAAAGGTACATATATCCATATGTGGTGGGAATGCCCAGTGGTGCGGACATACTGGAAGCAGATCGCAGCATTGCTGCGAGATGTGTTCGGCAGGGAGGTAAAACTAGATCCGTGGGTGTTCTTATTGTCCAGATCCATAGATGATTGGACAAGGACGGAACAAAACCTTATCCACAAAATAAACCTAGCCGCAAGGCAAGCCCTAACGCAGGGCTGGCTACAGAAAAACACTCCTACGATAGCAATAATAAAACATAAAATAAAGGATACTTTTTTTAAATTTTTTATATTCTTTATTTTTGAACATGCATGAGGTTGCATTGCATCCTGCATTGCCACAACAGCAAATGCAAGGATTTGCGGTACATTCAGTGATACATGTGAAGTAATAGTGAGGACTACTAGAGATAATACTTGCATCATTTAGGAAAACAGCATGAAATTTTATATTTAACGATTAAGCTAGCAACAATATTGTAGATACAACATGAGTTAGTCAAGGTAATGTAGACTTAACTAGTGGCTCATTTTTAAGTTAGAGATCATGCAGGCTAAACGTAAACAGGCTTAGTTAGTTATGTAGCTATACAGTAGGTTCAGTAACTTCAGTTAAGATGTAGTGTGGAATAAGAGTGTACGTTGCTGTGAGTGCCGTATACATTGCGCTAACTTGCGGTCACTGGTAGATACAACTTATAGATTAACTTTTATACTATGTCTAGGTAGGTCATATTATAAAGACTAGTGGGGTTAGACAATGCGGGGCAACTGTCACCCTGATGGATCGTAGTTCCCAGAGCTGCCTCGTGTGGGGGATATCGGTATCCTGGTGGTCCCTAGGCCACTCAGACAGGGGTAGTCCCGCTTTTATCCGATACCTCTTCTGCTGTGTTCAGGTGGTAGGGGGCAAGTGTCCATCAGAGCAGTCATCGGAGTGTACTTTGTCCTCATAGACTCCTGCATAGTTCTTTGGGTGCATTCGAGTTGCAGCCTTGGCGCTTGCCATCTTCCCTTGTCTGCAGGCTGATGTCCGCCATGCGTGAGAGCTGGGCTTTGTCCATGGGAGTCCGCCGCTTTCGGGGTAATCCTGTTATAGGCTGAGTGGTAAGTGAGTGCTTCCGGCAGAGGTGTCATGCTGGCGCAGTTACCCCAGGCGGGGAACGGTTGCTGTTAGGAGTTCCGCCCTCCCGGTGCAGCCGCAAACTCCTGCTTGTTCCGGTCGCCCATGCATCTAGTTGCTGGCTTGGGTGATAAGGGTAGGCTCTGTGTTTGCCGTTTCCCTATGTAGTGGGATAGGGATGTGGGAGCTGTTTTTGGTGTGATCATGAGGAGGTGGGAGGTGTTCCCCTTGTTGTCTGCGTGCATTTTGGAGGCAGCAGTTGGGCTTCTCGGCCTCAGTCGCGGAGTCACATTCAGGCCCGCAGGGTGAGGACCGGGATCACCCCCCCGGTCCATAGGGGGGGGAACGGAGCCGGATCCGCGCCGGTCTGTACCGTTGGTCTGGTTCTGTGGTGCAGGATAGTGAGGCAGCGGCCGTCTGCCTCACTCACCGCCGGAGAAGGCCCCGGTTGGGGCAACATGTTTTTCTCCCCCAGGGGACTGAAGCTCAGTGAGCCAGCCTCTCCCCGGGTCCAGCAGTCCCTCGGCTCTGGGTATCTTCGCTGTAGATCAGGTTTTAGGTGGTAATCAGCGTTTTTAGCAGTGATTATGTATTGTGTTACTGGAGCTGGTCTGACTTGCGACCGTCCAGCCTGGCGGTCCGGCCCCGCCCCCCCAAAGGATACTTTTTTAATGGACAAACTGACAGCTCAAGTCAGAGGGACTACAAAGAAATTTGAAAAGATTTGGGACCCTTGGATCAATAGTACAGTTAGTGATTAAAACTGTGGACCGGACCAAGCATACATACCTGAAATAGTATCACTCAGGGCAACGTAAAGATAAGTTAGAGACCGCTTCTCCCAAACTCACCTCTTTTTGAGGACGGGCAACTATGAGTCAGGCAGGATAAATGGAAGCAATAAGGTGACACTCCTCGTTGTGTGCTTTTCACCGGTCAGGCCTCCCTGGAGTTTACCTCAACCCCCCCCCCCTTTTTTTCCACATTCATACATAACTGTATCTTTCTCTTTCCTCGGACCTTGAGGAAACTATCCTTTTCTTCTTATAGTTCCGATCTTGGAACAATCCTCTATGTTCTTTACATTAATAAGATTATACACACAGGAATTACCAGGGGTAAATGACGCAGCTGGAGAAGCAAACGCAATCATTCATATGTGCCCCTGGTGGCTCTTAGTGCAAGCTATAGCACGATAGTTATATATTTTCTTCTATTTTATTTTAACATGAAAAAACACCAAATGGGTTGTCTTAAGATGCGTGTAAAGAAGGGGAAGTAACCACAAATCGGCAACTACGTACACAACCGCTAGACATATTTACGAAGTTTGTAATTGTTCACAGTTTCAATGTGCAGTCTTGCGGATACTACTGTATTTCAAAAATCAAAGTTTTTTGTACGTATTTTGAGAATGTTTATACGAGAAAAACAAAAAGAATTAACCTAGGGCCAAAATTTAGATATCACAAGGTAGAGGGCACAAAAAAAGGGGGGTAACCCCTAAATGTTGCCAACTTGTGTGATTTTTAACCGGTTAACTGCTGCCTGTCAGCAGTCCTTCACAGGTGAGCTACTACTTGGTGCTCCACTGTGGTCAAGCATAAGTTAACATCATTCAGTGCAGACAGCTGTTGTTACACTAGAATAAAACGGAGC